GCATCAGAATGTTAAGGCTGTCACTGTGAAGATGTGGCCATGCTAGTATTAGCATCTATCCCAAAGCACTTGTTGTGCCTAAAAAATGTTGTTAGCATGGCTGCTGTTGCTATGTAATTGCTTAGAACAACACAAAGGATGCCACTATCTTCAGTAGTATTGACTATCAATACAACACATGCCCATGTAAAATGAGGTCAAATTAAACTCCCCACTTCCTGCTTTTTTTTTCTTTACAGACTGGGCACAGGGACAGGAAGTCTAAGCATCCACGTAGATGAAGGAAAGTGGGAAGGACAGCTCCATATGCATTATGTCAGCCTGAGGGCACAGCTGTGTCCGACTGTCTTTTCCTGCCATACTCATTTTGCCCCAACAATCATCCTGTCTTGTGATAAAGGTCTCTCGTTGCTACAAGGCTCCTTGGCACTATTTGGGAGCTACAGATGAAGAATATGCTGATTAAACATGCTTTCATTAAAGCGATTACACACACAGGACGATTCGATTTCCCACAGGCGGCCAAATAACGATGAAGGGGAAGAAGAAGAAAGAAAAAGGCCTATGGTGCGTGAAGGGGTTCAGTTTAGATAGAGGAGGACAGGGTGAAAGTGAAACTGACAATGGCTGCTTGTTAGCCATTAAGTGACCCACGCACTCTTTAAGGACTCTGACTTAATATGCTGTGTGAAAGAGTGAGCTGTACTTTCCTCATGGGGACAACCAGCTTTTTGCCCTCACCAACACCCCTACCTGACTCACCACACCTACAGGCCACTTCCAGGTCATCGAGTTTCCAGCATGGAAGACCTTGCCAAAGATGCAGGAGAAATATTACTTCTGGTTCATTTAATGAAGCTGGCCGGTTTTAGCGCTTGAATGAGCTGTGTAGGATGTGGTGGGAGGCGAGATGATAAGGAGGGAGTTAAGTTGTGACGAAAGCCAAATGAACATCTGCAGCTCTCAGGCATTTGTCAGTTTTGCCCTTTTCAAACCAAAGTTTTGTAGTTGAGGTTGATAAAGTAATCACAGACAATGGTCATCTAGACACAATCAGTTTTTTTTCCTGATAAGCGAATATTCATGACTGGATTCAAAGCATCACGATTCTTTAAGTGGGTATTCTTGGGTGATCTTATATTTAGACTAGGTGTTTGTTCTTTTGGCTTTAAACTCTTTACTTGACTCCAGGAGACCCCTGCACAAGAATTCCTATATGCCTAGACTGTCTGTTTATGCATAAATGGCAAATAAAAATCTTGAATCTTGAAGTGGTTACAGACAACCCACATTTTATGAATCCAAATCACTATTTTGACAGAACTTGGTATGGTTTTCTGTAAACTCATCCTGAAACTGACATTTCTATTTACGTCATAATATGGTGTGTGAGCAGCCCCGACTTCCAGGTAGTTGACTTCTCTGTAAATATATATAGTATATATGCATATTTTGGAAGCATGATTCATGACTGCCCCTCCTTGAACCGCCACCTTATTGTGGTGGAGGGGTTTGAGTACTCGAGCGATCCTAGGAGCTATGTTGTCGGGGGCTATATGTCCCTGGTAGGGACTCCCAAGGCAAACAGGTCCTGGGTGACGGGTCAGACTAAGAGCAGTTCAAAAGCCCTTTATGAATAGATTAAAATCAAGGACCGTGACGTCACGTGGCAGGGCGCAGCCGGGGCCCCACCCTGGAGCCAGGCCCGGGGTTGGGGCTCGAAT